GACCTTCCCAACAGATGCTCATGAGGGTCAAAAAGCTCTAGGGAGTGTAAACTTTAGCTAAATAACGAGCACATCAGACTCAGATTTCATCACTGGCAACAAGTGAAGAGGTAAATGTGTAAAACAACAACATTTAAGAATGACAAAAGTTTTGTAACCGTTTGTTACAAATCAGTAAATGCATTTTGTCCTCATGGGCTCCCGTAAAAGGAAACAGGCCATCTAATATGGCGTCATTTAGAGACTCAGACCCACTCCTATGTATTTTAGTCCTGCTTTTTACAAGTGGTGCTCGCTGCAGAACCACAAAGGCGGAGCTGCACCAGAAGGTGGAGCTGCACCAGAGTCAGCCCCGCCCATTCCATCAGAGTCAGTCCAATTCCTTCCAGTTGTCAGACTTAATAGCATTCTGGAACCAAAGAGGGTGTTATAGCTAATATCATCTAAAATGCAAGATTGAGGACGGAGTTGAGAGGTTATTTGAACAGTTTTTGTAAAGGTTCCGTATAATTAAAAATCTAACTTTTGGAACTTTTTATCATGTTATATTGTCATTTCCTCATAAGAAACACGCCAAAGCCATTTTTAGCCTCATTCATGCATTTTCCTCCCATGTCAGCTTCAAGTTGGTCTCCTCCCCCGAAGCGGGTCTGGTCTTGGTTCTCAAATCTGGATATTCTGTGAATTTTCTGACAAATTATTTCTGAAATGACTTCTACTGAGACACCGCCAGAAAAACCATACATCCCATCTACAAAGAAACACTGGATGGCACTATTACATATGACGCCACTTGCTTCTTATCAGATGTAGTGGCGAAGTAGTTATGGAGTCAGATTGGCATGCAGTTTTGCGCAGATTCTATTTCTACAATGTTCCCAGGGGCCCCTGCAATGATAATCCGGCCCTGCCAAGGAGTCTCCACTTCATTTTTTTTGGTAAGTAAAATTATATTAATGTATTTTAGGTCACTGCCGAGCTGAGCTTAGATTTTAACATGTACTGTTTAACCATGACATTTAAATGTAATAGGGTAAAACCTAGTGCATTTAACATAATGCTGCACTTTAGAAAATGGGTTGAAATATAACATGTTGGTGGAGCTGGATTCCGACTATTGGTATGGTCCCCTTCCCGCAGCTCGTCACATCTGTGTTCATTGCTGCGCTTGTCTGCTGTGCAGCTGCCGGCTTGTGGAGCTCTGGGGAGACCTCTGTGTTCCACCCGGTTCTCCACTCCCTGCATCTCTGATCGCCGTGGCGCTTGTCTGCTGCGCGGGCTGCCGGCTTGTGGAGCTCTCGGACAGAAACCGATGTTTTCCACCCGGTTGTCCCCAGCAGTCAGCTCGTCGTATCTCTGACTCAGAAGCTCTGGTGTTGTGCACAGTTAACTCCGGTTGTATCAAGGTTGCTACCAGTGGCGGCTGGCCAGTAGAGGGCGATAGGGCGCCGCCCTCCCAGTTTCCCCAGTGTTTTTAATTTTTATTAAAATAAATAAATAAATAAAATTAACAATAATCACATATTCTAAGTTAATTGTGTGTTTTGTAACAAAAATAAATCATATATATATATTTCTATATTGGTCTCTGCCTGACTCTGCCGGTCTCTGCCGAGCGGTGGAGGCTGTGGGCTGTGTTTCAATCGCCCAAACAGGATGGGACCAGCTGTCCAATTGCTGACAAGAAAATCAAAGGGTAGGAATGGGAATGTATCCAATCAGCGTCGACGTTGTTTCAGAAGCATGATGGGCGATAGAGCTACCGCCAAAGGCTTTCGTCGGTGTTCGGTAGAACTCGGAGAGTCTCGAATCCAGCATGTTTTTGGTCGTGACTCGTGACGGTCGTGACGCAGACGTAATAGACATGGACGCCAGTGCGCCTACAACCAGCAGCATGGATACCGGATCTCAGCAGCCATTGAATTCAGTTCGGTCTCTTCTCCAGTATCCGTTCGAGAGGAGAACTATGGTGGAAAAACTTAATGTCAAAGAGCTTGGACCAGATCAGCCCGACATAAAGATAAGCCAGCAGGACAAGGAGAGGTAAACTGTACACATGACGCTTCTCCCAAAATTGGTACACCAGGAAGGCTTGGCTAGCTGGATGCAATCACGCTAATGCGTTATTTTGCTTTCTGTGTTTGTTATTCAAAACGGCTGAGATCCACAGAAGGTGGATGTGGAACTTGTGTCTCATTGGGGACTCCATTCATTCTCTGACTGAGGAATGCAGCGCATCAGTGCAGCAGCCAACAAAGAAACGGAGGACGTTTGGACAGGGAGAACAGCAGCTGGGTGCAGAGGTAAGCTGTACATTACATTTCTGTAAACAAGACAATCAGAATCAGAAATCCTTGGTTGTCCCACAAACCGGGACATTTGTTTAATAACATGTACATTGTTTAATGTGCAATAACTGTAAAAACTAATTTCAACACACATACCTATTATACATATTTAATCATGTAAATGTGTATTTCAAGTAAATTTGTACATACATCAATCTGATTCCATTTTACTTGTTACACTTCTGCTGCAGCAAACAAATTTCCAAGATTTTGGGTCAATAAAACATTTCTGATTCTCAATGAGATGTTTTTACATTCGAAGTAAAAACATCTAATTGAGAACCAGAAATGTTTTACTGTCCCAAAAAGTGGGAAATATGACATTTGTAAGAGGATACTGATGACATTATTTCCTATGAAAGTGTTTCCACTTTCCATAAGTCCTAACAGTGTAAATTTCTGGCATTTTGTCTAAGTAGTGTTTACTTCCATTACTGTAACAGTGACCTGCTCATAATTTTTCGTGTTCACTCAAATGTTGAAATTTAACTAAATGTTTTTGTTACTTGCCTCTTGCATTGCCTATTTACCATTTATGGTCATGTTATTTTATGTGCAATTTAATGCAGTATTTTTCAACCTTGGTCTGCAAGGCAGTGTGCCAATAGTCAGACACACCTGGATTAATCAGTTTGTCCAATGATGTAAGACAGGAAATAAAAGAGCTGTGCTTAATTCAGGAAATAGTGAAGTTGTGCACAAAGCTCAGAAAGCACAAGTTTGTTTGAAAAAAATAGCACAGCCCCACCAAAAATATTTTTCACCAGCCGCCACTGGTTGCTACCTCCGTTAGCTTAGCTCCCACCTCTGCGTTAGCTTTGGGTTAGCTTGTAGCTACATCGCTTCAGTTTGACGGGTGTAGTCATTTGATCCCAGCCTTACAGCCCCACCCTCAGCTCCACCTTTCTTCCCTTTTTTTTGAATTGTCTGGGCTTGACGGAACCTGTGACACGGTCAGAATGGCGGTGGTGGCCACCTCCCATTTTGGCTTATAAACTTATTATTGGAGCCTATGGACACGCATTGTCCAGTATATATGTCGATGGCGTTCACAGTCGCTATGCTGGCCCAACTAAATCCTGCCATGTACCTCAACGGAGCAGGAAAATACCGAACCGTATTTTTAATAAATGTGGTCAGGTTGAGCTGCGTTGGTACAAGTTATTTTGAGTAGTGCTTGCTGAAAACTACCTTTAAAGACCATAAAAATAGAATTAGCACAAAGGGATCGCATTGTCTCAATCTAAATGAATGCAGACTATGTCAGTCACATTTTTCCTCAAAGGGACAGAAGGAAGGTGGATAATGTTGAGGATCTGACTAAAAAAAAGAAAATTTCGAACCTTAAAGCTTTCCCTGAAATAATCTAACCTGCTTAATTATTTGCTGTTGACATTAATTCACTTTCTCAGGATGATTAACTTTTGATGTTAAAAATAAATCATATCTAACAAAGTAACTTGTAGTTTAGGCAAAAACATTCAAATGATTTATTTGCACTGTTCAGTGTCATATTTGGATTACAGAATTCCTAAAGGAGCCATATGTAACTCTGTGTCTTCATCGTTAAAATCCAATTAGTTATAAATAATTTTCATGCATGGTTTGAAAAATCTTGCAATTGCCACATATTGTATAACCATGCAAATAGATTATTTTCTCTCCTTTGTCTCAAATTATAGAGTAAGGGTTAAATACGATCACATGCCGTTATAATTCATCTGAAATGCACTTTGACTGTGACACTTAAGGCAATAGGTACAGCTCCGACTATCCCGGAATACAAGATGACAGGATTAAGGTCGTTTTCATGATTTTTCTTTTTCTCAGATTTTAGGCTGGATGGAAACTACCAGAGGACGGCCATTTTCAGGTTTCATTAGTTTGACTTAGGACTTATGCTGCATGACAGCTGCACCACTTGCAACATTATGTACAGAACTTTTATTTTCTCTTTTCGTACCCCTACAAAAGTCAAAGAACATTTTTCATAAAGACGTGTGCAGTTATGGTCTTCCCTTTGGATGTTTCTCAACTCTAGAAAAGATTTTTAGGCAGTTCTACTTGACCAAACATCAAGTCAGAAAAGCATCATGGTCAAATGTTGTTCTAGTAAACAGCAAGAGTCAGTAAATAATCTTCAACATTCATCGTCACATTTTGGTTGGTGTTGGACACGAGAGTCTGTTAACTGCTGAGAAAACAGGATTAAATAGATGGTTCTGAGAAGACGAAGGGAAATGGGGGGGGGGGGGGGGGGGGGACTCTTATACTGAGGGACTGATAACAAAACAGGCACAGGTGATCTGATGGCTGATGGGAAACAGGTGTGCTTGGTTAGTGACTGAGGGGGAAAACCACAACTTTACCAAAAACAAAAAAAAAGCCTTCTTGGCTAAATTAAACGTTATGGTGTGCATTTCTTTCCCTATTTGGTAAAATAACTTGCTGACAAATTTATCAAGATTTAGTTTTAGTGATTTATTTACACTGACCTGAGTGACTCTCGCCATGATTATTTTATTTACGTGCAATAAACAAAATGAACCTAATCTCTGAATAAATGGTAAACCATTCTATTTAGTGACCAATTGGGATTAATTAAATATTGCTTTATTAATAACCATAATAAAAGTGTACAGTTGCAATATATTGAAGAAAAAAATAGATACTTTAATGAAACAATAAAAAACTGTTTTTTGCACATTTAAAAAAAATTTGGAAAAGTATGTTGTATTTATAGCCCATCAACAACTTCATTTATCATCACACGCATGACGCTCCTCAGACAACATGGACAGAACCAATAGTTTATTGTACAAAGTGCAGCAGAGAGTCCATCATTACAGTCTTTATTAAAACCACTTCCCTCTGTCGTTAGGGTGAAGCCCATCAGAAACCAGAATATATTTCAGCAGCAGCCATGTTTTGGTGATTTCTGCTGTGGCCTCATCAGAACACCCAGTTTGCTGATTGATCTTACATCTCATCACAAGCAAGAGAAAAAGAAAACATCAACAATTCATCTACTTTGCTCTCTATTTCACTCATGCTCAGCACTCTAGATGTCTCAGTTCTGAGTCTTCTGGATTGGGTTTTTGAAAAGCTTATTTCAGTTGTCCCGAAAAGTTGACAACTGTTCCACTGGCATGTTTAAGCACCAACAGATGCTAAAAGGGCCAGATTTACCAGCAGAAGTCCACTCACACCAGCTTGGGCAAATGTTTAAATAAAGTAGCATTGCATTTGTGGAAAAACCAAAAAGAGGATACATAAAGACGTAAGGCTTGATCACAGCTCGGGGACCACTGCCCTGAATGCTTTGTTGTTTTCCTTTCTCAGTGTGTCGTTAGCAGGTTCAAGCCTCATTTACACCGAGTCTGGAACGAATGTTGATCAGAATCCGTGCAGCAATAAAGACTGAATCGTTTACCCTAATCAGAGCATTTACACCAGCGGCGGTGAGAATCTAGATGCGGAACGGCAAAATCTTTCTGCATGGTTTCTTTATTTCCAGACGCCGCATGAAGCTCATTCTGAAGTTGCAGACTTGAGGAATTGCATGAGCCAGATAGGAAGTGAGACATGTGGCAGCGAGGTGCAGCCGCTTCAATTCAAAAATAAAACTCGTGCTCATCATTCTGTCGGCTTCTTTTGTTGTTATTAATGACAGGGATATCAGTTTCACGATGTGTGATTGTATGAAAAGACAAGTGTGGCTTTTGTTTACCAGCTCCTCTCCACACATGTAGTTATCATAGCGCAAACTTTCAAACGACTTTCCGAAGACGTTCTGTACACAGTCTGCAGTCGGTGTAAATGGCCTTCCGTTCTGAAGCTGCACGAATTCTGGTACACGTCCGTTCCACGCTCGGTCTGAATGAGACTTTCTGCAGAACTTGAGGACCTGCCATAGAGCTGATTTAACAACTGAATCAGGTGTGCTAAAGCAAGGAAACAACAAAAAACATGAACTATGATAGTCCTCCAGAACGCCGTTGTAGATGAATATTAAACATGACCAAGAAGCATTGGAGGCACTCGAGCTAAAACGAACATTTCTTTTGATGAATTCATAAAATATAAGGACTTACTTGTTTCATACTTCCACAAAAAATCATCAAATGTTTTTTTAAAGCAACATTATAAATAAAAAAGTTGAAAAGTGAAGGAGCCCAAATGCTTTTGAACTGTACACTTTTCTATTATAAACCAGCTTTCACAACCATTTGGTGCTTTTCTCTCACAGCCAATGACCAAACATGCTTGGTGTTTGTGAAACAAGTCATTTTACATTTATCTGCTAGAAGCACACACCAGCATTATGCAGTCCGGTAGCAACTTGAAGCAATCGAAATCTTCCTCACCAGCAGCTCCTGGAGCTATCATCCTCCATCAGGGCCTGTGAAGAAGAGCTGGATTGAGTTTGAAAGATGATAATAGACTCCTGAGGAAACTAATCTATTTCTAAAAACGGGGTATGGATTCTCTCACTCGCCCCCCATCTCTGCCTGTCCACCTCTCTCTTTGGAGAACTTCTCCCTCGCAGTTTCACAATTGAAACATACCAATTAAATGCACTCTGGACAGAGAGGCATGTGTTACAGTTTTATAAAAGGAGCTGTCTTCATTTTTTGGATTTTTTTGTATATTTTATAAAGCTCGTGGAGTAGTTATTCTTTTATGTACAGCCTCATGCATTTTCATAAGAAATCTGTTGGTTTATGCAAAAGAAAACAAAATTATTATGAAGACAATTGACAAATAACTGCAAAAAAGCGGATTCCCTTTAAAATAAACACGTTCTGTTCTGTACATTACAGAGCTCACTTATTTACATTTGCTGAATGTACAGAAACTTAATCTATTAAACATTTACATTATTATTTTTCATGTTTGCCATCATAAATAACTCATTAATGTTAATGAATGTCATTTTTGTTATAAAAACAACAAATACTTTCAAAGCCATCAGAACACTCTTTTACATGTAGAATCGACAGTCTTTCCACACATTTGTCAGCTTTCCCACCATGTTTCATACAGAGTGGAAGCGGAAGTCTTTCATGTTTCGCAGCCAGTTACTCTCACAGTCTCTTTCATTTCTGGATGAATAAACTTAAAATCAAAAATCAAAATTTAACGCTGCTAAAAGACAGCTGTTACAGGGCCAGGATCATATGTAAACAAGCCAACACCAGGACCCAGATGGCTCCGGTTAGTCTGAGGTTGCCAGAGCTGCCTTCTATTTCTGAATCCTCGGCAGGTGGATGATGATAATGATGATGTCTGTAATCACCGGTCACATCTGGACTCACTGTGAAGAGAGCAGAGATGAAAATCACAGGCTGAAGAATGCTTATTATCAATATGACATCACAGGAGACAATCTGACAGAAAGGACAAGTGTGGTTAGTTTTACAATGTCACTGTCAGCAAATTCCATAAAACCATAAAAGACGATCTATCGCTGAACTATTTCCAGCTCCTCTTACCCTGTCTGTGAAACATTCCCTAAAGCCAGTTTAACAGGAATATAATGGTTTGCATTCAACCTTGAGAGTGCAAAAGCTTTTTATTATTTCAAAACACCTTCAGTACTCGTGCGGACTACAAGCCCATTTGGGCTTGTCTCCAAAGTATGTTACAGCGGTAAACCAGGATTTTTATTTTCTTCATGTTCCAAGCACTTATGAGCACCACACAATCCAAGTGCAGTTAAGTTTCATATTCAAAATTAAATGCATTGAAATTACTTCTATAGGTGGACTGCCATTTGCCTTTCATGAAGAATGAGCCTGAAGCAAATGAAAATACTCCTGGAGCTGCGTTGGATTTTACGCAAACACCATGATCAAGAGAGTGGTATTTTGTTTTTATTTACCGATGTAGAGATAGTTGTTACGTATGAAAGTGGTAGATTCTTTACCATCTAATTAACACAACATAACTTTTCATAGACATTCAAGGCTGCACCATCTGTCGAGGCCCAGACACCCAAAACAACCCTTCGCCAACGTATTGTTCCTCACTGGAGACGCAACAGTTTCCCTCAAGGTTCCTGCCATCTCGGCGTGAAAGCCAGACGTCAACATTCTTCACTCTGAATAAGTGAATCCATGACTTTAGAACCACAAGCTTAAATAATCATATGTGATTAATGAACAAGATGTTTAAATGAAATCTTTGAATAACCTGTGCTTAAATCAATGGATTTATAATGAATATTGTTCTTATAATGATCCATTTATTTCACAGATCAGTATGTGATTGATTTAACAAGTTAATCATTGTTTACACTCACACACATTACAATAAGATACTCATTAAGGTTAATAGTCACCTCACATAAGAGTTTTAAAGATTCTCATTCACAAAGTGTTAAAACTCTTTGTATCTGAAGAAGGCGTGGCTTTCTGAGGGATGTTGGTAAAGACTCCAAATGTGTCAAATTCTGTTTTGCCAAACTTGGCCAGAACTCATAACATTGTGGTTTTTTAAATCAAGAATTACTTCCCGATTAATTCAGTTTCTAGCTGTCTCTCGAACTGGCCAATTCGGGAACAAGCATCTTCAAGACATCTCTTTTGACATGCAGTCAAAAGCCTCTTTGCACGCTGCAAGCTGACACAGCCAGACGGCTCTTTTAAGAGCCAAACATCCACCTTGGACTCTGACAAGCATTCCAGCTTCCTGTTGTGACTCGGAGACATCTCAAGAACGCACGGTTCGAATCGGAGTTAACCTATGAGCTTCGGGTACCTTGAGGTCAAGGTTCAACCAAACTCCGACAGTCTGGACCTACACCGGGGGTCTCCACAAGGGTATTGCAAGCACGACAGATTGCATCTGATGGCTTTTATCAATAACCAACTCTCTAGTTTATAACCAAACAACAAATTCTTTTACACCCAGATTTCACAAGTTCCCTCAGATACAAAGAACACTGCTAAAACATCTAGATTCCATCACACCACCTCACATATCACATTACATCTCATTTTTCATATCTTGTCATGTATAAATTATTAATTCAGTAAAAATACTTAAATTCATTTTAAAAACTATGTACCTGACTCTGTCTGAATTAATATGAAGTGTGTTTATGGTCCCTGAGCAAGTAAAAGTAACTATAATCTTCTGATTAAACATTCACAGATCAGATTGATATATCATATTTATATGGAATCATCACATCTAATTGGTCACAAATAATTTGCAGTTATTCACTACTGTGAAGTTATGTTGGTAGGTGAATGGTTAAAGGTTAAGAAGGAAAAAATTAAGGGACCACATTTGCAGTCACTGAGCAAGAAGCAGGGTACACCCTGGACATGTCCCAAATCCATCTCAGGAACAGTACAAACTCACAAGCATGAGCACACAATCACACTAAAAACCTAAGCCGGGAGGCCCAGACTTCCTTCTCCCCAACCTCTTGGGCTAGCTCCTCTGGGAGAATCCCAAGGTGTTCCCTGGCCAACCGTGAGACATAGTTCCTACAGCATGTCCTGGGTTTTCCTTTGGGTCTTCTCCCAGTTGGACGTACCAGCAAACCTCACCAGGGAGGTGTCCAGGAGGCATCCTAATCAGATGCCTGAGCCACTTCTACTGGCTCCTCTCAATGTGGAGGAGCAGCGGGTCAACTCCGAGCCCCTACCGGTTGACAGAGCTTCTCACCCCATCTCTAAGGGAGAGCCCAGCCACCCTGTGGAGAAAACTAATTTTGGTCGCTTGTATCAGCAATCTCGTTCTTTCGGTCACTACCCAAAGCTCGTGACCATAGGTGAGAGTAGGAATGTAGATCGACCGGTAAATCGAGACCACGTCATTTGCAAACAGCAGAGTCTCAATACTTTGGCCACAAAAACGGATCTCCTCAACACCTTGGCTGCACCTAGAAATCCTGTCCATAAAAGTTATGAACAGATTTGGTGACAAAGGGTAGACTTGGTGGAGTCCAACTCTCACTGGAAACAAGCTCGACTTACTGCCCGCAATGTGGACCAAGCTCTGGCACCCATATCAGAGGCCTGGTACCCCATACTCCCGAAGGACCACCCCAAAGGACCCCCAGAGGTCAAAGGCATTCTCCAAATCCACAAAACACAGATTTGTTGGGCAAACTCCCATGCACCCTCCAGGACCGCCCCAAGGGTATAGAGCTGGTCCAGTGTTCCACAGTAAGGATAAAAACTACATTGTTCCCCTTGGTTCCTGGTTTGACAATCTGCCGGATCCTCCATTTGATCAGCCAATTATCGTGTACGTTGGGATTCTGGAGGAAAACCTGAGTAAGAAAACGTACACCTCCAAGGAGAAACGTGGGCACCTGCATGAAGGCCTGAGCTGGTGATTAAACCCAAGACCTTCCTGCAAGGCAACACTGCTATCCAACGTCATCACTGTGCAGCCACACAGTGTTTCCCCTAGGAATCTTTCCAGCTTGTGTGTGTGTGCGTGTGTGTGTGTGGGGGTGGGGGGTGGGGGGGTGGGGGGGTATGACACGTCTCTAAACAAAGTAACATTTTCTAGTGCAGAGTGGAGACGACCCATAGAAGCACTGATTTGATCTATTTTCAGAGAAAAATAGAACAGGTTAGATGCACCTAATAAATCAAATTACTAACAAACTCAGGAATCTGTTGCTTCACTGTTCTGGTGCTGAAAATATCACTAATGCGGATCAAAGGAGATACACAGATGAATGCACCTCTTATTTATTATTTGGAAACTACATTTACTGCAGCTGGCAGAGGCAGAGATTGTTTCTATTGATACACGGAATTTACTGAATCATTGTAAATTTTAATAGGGTAAGACTGCAGGAGGGAGCGGTAAAATACAGGGGGTCCCCAGCAAAAACAAGAAACTTTACGAGTCTGATGAAACTTGCTGGTGTTCCTTCAGCAGGCCCGGTGGCAGCTCCAACGACCCAGTGGCTGCGCTGGGTCAATGTTATCGAGCTCAGTCCGGTGTCTGTGCAAGATCGGCTCGGGGTCCTTCGACTGCCGATGACGTCAAAGTACGACAAACCCACTCGGACAAAATACACTACACATCTATACTGTTGGAAAGAATTTAGCAGTTTCGTTATTAAAATGTTTCTTAAGATGTAAGTTTGTGTTTATAATAGTATTTGTAAAATAAAACACTATATTGTATTCATAATGTTGAACTCCTCTTTGAGCACATCCCTTGAAGGATCATAGGTATTAGCAACACATGTGAAATTGTATTTGCAGGAAAGAAGTGTGTCCCATTTATTGAAGTAGTTTGTGTTTAGAGTTTTTGACGTCTTGTCCATGCGTAGTTCAGTTATGCTCATAGCTGCTATAGCCAAAACTCTGGAGTTAAAAGTTTTCTGGCTTTACTAAAATACCTGTCTGTTCTTATTTGATTGGTGGTAGTTTTACTTTCTATTAGACTCCAAATGTAATCATTTGGCACGTTTCTAATTCATAATTTGTAATAATGTAGTCGGTGATATTAGCATTAGAATTCCTATGGGTTTTTCCACATATATTAGCATTGCGCAAACCACTCGCTGCCAAATTGCAGCCTTGGCGATTAGAAAATCTTCTTTTGTCACATCGCAATTTAATTGCACATGCAGTTAATCGTTCAGCCCTAATATACACGCAGCTCTATGCTAAAAGTGTATTTTCAAAGAGGTTATGATGGATTTCTTTGTAAAAGTTGTCCATCTTTCCAACAAAAAGATTTGCCTGGACCAACGTAACGTGATAACAATGTAACCTGATTACGTAATTCCGTAAGGTTCATGTTCAGCCAATCAACTACTTTGACGTCATAGGTAGTCAACGGACCCCGAGCCGATCTTGCACCCGAGCAGATCTTGTACCGACACCAGCTCGGCCGTGAACAAGCCGAGGCGACGTCGTGCTCTGCTTAAGAAGAGGTGTTATTTTCCCGCTTCAGAAGAAGCGTCCAACGTGTTTTTACGCTTTCTCCGAGACATGTCATGTCACTAAGTTGTTAGCGCCGTGCTTTAACACGTCAATAGTACAGCGTAGCCTGCTGGAGGTTTTAAGGGTTCCGATGAAAACACCCGACCTCTCAGGCTGCTCACACATCGATCTTAAGTTGCCGCTGTTACGCTCACGCCGTAATACAGTATTAGATGCGGTTAAAGTCAGACATGAAAAAATAAATACATTTTACATGAATAAGTGATGCTTAGACTGGTGGGGGGAGGAGAACCTGGCCTAATAAGCACTGGAGGAAACCCTGTCAAGATCGTCAACACTCATTTATCTTAATGCTACTGAAACATGTAAACCAAAAAGCATTATA